TCTTCCTGCAGATTCCAAGCTTGATCTCATCTCTGCTTCAGCTTTAATGCTTCTGAGGGAAAGAAGCATTTCTTGAAACATCATTTTTCCTCCCCAAAATACAAAGAAATGAATATTGAGAAGCCATCCATCCTGTGTGTGTGTGTGTGTGTGTGTGTGTGTGTGTGTGAGAAAGAGAGAGAGAGAGCGAGAGCGAGAGAGAGAGAGAAGAGATAATGAATGAATATGTATATGTATTGGGGTATATAACCAACGATAAAAGAGGTCAACAATCTGGGGTGAGTTCCCTACCCTGTATCATAAATGATTTTGGGGGTCACTCAGGGATCTTACATTTAGCTTTTGTACTTTCCTGAACTATGTAATCTACAAAGGACAGCCATGACCAAGAGCATTTGGATGAAAAGACTAATTACATATTTAAATATATTTGGTGGAAATTATTAAATGTGAGTTAGACTCAACTGTCCTCCACTGCCACAGTGGATGTCATTTGTAGAATGAATTGATTCATTAATGAAATGCCACTATCACTCTGCCACAGGAAGGGGATAGTGTACAGAATCAATGAGCCTGTTTCAATTACATCAGTCCCTCGGATTGCAGTGAGAGGCTGTCAGTCCCAGTGAGCTCCAAATTTGGAAGCATGCCAGCCACAATAACGAAAACAAATCTCATCTTTCACTCCCTACTGTGGACAAGATAATACAGATCAAGGGCTCCATGACATGTTTTAACTTTATTTTGAAGTGACCCTCAAAAGTGCTGAATGTTGTACTACACATACATAAATATTATCCTTTCATATCACATAAAAACATTTATCACTGAAACCCACTTAAGAATTTTCCTCTGCTTATCAGCTCATCTGCAGTGGTTTGTGTGCTCAAATGAAGCATGAGACTCAATTGTCAAATGTATTTTTAGTCTCCTACTAACATTATAATCTCTCTAGACAGCACATTGAAACTTCTCAATCGTGAAAAAGACTGCAAAAGTCCTATTTAAATCAAATCTCACTTTTCACTAACGGAGATTTTAGACCACTGTAAAAGGTACATAGGTGTTTGATGGCATCCCAATGATTCAAAACAAGTTTTTTTGGGAAAAAATAGAAGTTTTTTTTTTTTGGTCACACATTAATTGAAAATAATTTTAAAGCAGCGTTGCAAAAGATTGGTGTATTCTGTAGGTACAGTGAACTTCCTATTTCCTCTATCCACCTGCTACTCTCAGCCTTCCTGCTCTAAGGTGAGTGCTTTTAACACTGTGTAGTTTTTCATTAGAAAAGATTTAAGGTGAGTCTTACATGCTGTCAAATGTGGCAGATCCATTAAGGTCACAGGAAGAATTGATTCAAGTGAAGCATGGAGACAACACCTGGACAATTGAAATCTACCAAGGAAACAAACTAACCCTGACCAAACTGGAGTCAGAGGATTTTTTTTTTTTTAGATTATTATGTCACTTACAATATTCAAGACATGGCAATGTTCAAGGATGGTCATCAGCCCCTGCTAGTATCGCACTGAGTTCCCATAGGGTCCATGACATCTTCAGGAGACCTGGCCATGCACTGAGGAGCCCCCAGTCACTAGGCATACTTTGTCACCCCTGACAATACCTTATCATTATTTAAAATGAAAATAAAACCACCACCTCCTCCAGTGTTCTTGTTACTAGAGTTTGGATGAGATAGTGTTTATCCCATTTGGATTCTGGCTTTAGTTTGATTTCTAATGTTTAGGTTAAGTGTTGACAATTAAAATTGAAAGGAAAAATTGAACACCGAAATAAATGCTTGAAACCCCGGTGAACTAGAATACTTAAAAAAAAAATTACAGACGTAAATAGGATTAAAATAACCAACATAACTATTGTTGATTAAATTAGGATTCTGATGTCTGCATGTATTGAACACAGATTTTTGGGTTGTTTTATTTTTAATACAATGTAATGCTGCTCACCTGTTGATGCTTCCCACCCCCGCCCCTCCCCAGACATGACTCTTAAAAAACAATTAGGTAAGATGACAGATGCAAATTTGAACATGTGCCATTTTTTCCTTCTTGACTTGAAATAAGGTATTTTATAGAATGGCATGATATAAAAAATCCAAACAAAACACACATGGATACATAAAATTATAGGTAATTTCCTTTTGCCTGAAGTGGCTTAAAAAAAATTGAGATCATGGAAATTTCATAGTTGAAAAAAATGTTTCTGAATGTATAAATAAAGCAGTAGTTTTGAATAGAAACAGGAAGTTACCTAGGCACATTCATCAGCCACATGGTAGCTACCTCTTAGCCTCATTGTTGGTTGTGTAAATGAGACTTTCTTTGTATCACATTAATTTTTTTTTTTACAGAAACAAAAGAAAGCATGTTGGTTTCATATTCAAATGAATTATGCCCAGGATAATCCTTATTTATACAAAGAGTTCAGACAGTGAAAAAAAGAAAGAGGAAAAATACAGTTCCCATACATGTTTGCTTATACCCCCTGAAACTTAGGGGCCCACTTCTCAAAGATAAAACTTAAGTGCCACCCTTAAAATACAGAAGAGGCTGAAGGATGGAACAGAAGGGAGTAGAAAACTAGGATTCTCTCTAAAGCATGGAAAAACATAAGGATGGGTGTGACCAGTTCGAATTTCTCTGTAGCATGTTACGTTTTCTTGGATATATTTTTGCCTCTAATTTGATCACAAAGATATGGAGTCACTCTCTAAATTTGAGTTTCCAATACATGGTGTTGCAAATAAGAGAACCAGATCTATTTCAACACTGGGCTTCTGTTTGTAGGTCATAAATAGTGAAATATTGACACTTTCATGTGAGTCAAACTCATTACCCATGTTGATATAATGGAAAAAAGATTTATCCTTTAATTTTTAAATAGTTTTTAAAAGCCAACTCTGCTTTCTTTTACAGTGCACTTAATTCATTTCCCTCTTCTTCTGGACTAAGACAGGTTCCTATGACTTAGTTTGTGAAAAAAAGTTTCACTTATTTGATTCTAATGATGCATTCAAAAAGCAATTCTAGGGCATGGTCCAATGAACAAAGTTTCATTGTCCTTAGTTTCAGGTAAAACTGTATAGGTTGAATATGGATTTCATGAACCAAATATGCAGGAATGTTTGTTCCATCAATTTAATTCATTTTAGAGACAGCTTTGCATCATTCTCAATGCAAATATATCTCCTTTGGCTTTAATGATTGATCAAACCCAATTGTTTTGGTTCTTATGAATATAAATAATAATTTCTTGATTGTCAACTAGCATTTTAAAAGCTTACCTAAATTCCACTAATAGAATCCTCAATCTTATTGGTCCTACTTTTCTCAGAGAGTTAAATTGAAATAAAAAGGTCTATTGTCTTTCTTCTGACAATACCAGGATATGAAAATATAATGAGAAAAAAAAGGCAAAAAGAAGCTATCCCTTCCCCACTGCAGAATCAAGGTGCCTATTCATTGTGGATGATGACAAAGACTAAGGTGCAAAGACAAAATCAAGAGGTGTTGGAATTTAGAAGGAAGACTATTGTTACTAATACAATGGGACCTTTTCAGGAGACCACTCACCACTTAACAGAATATCACTATGCTTTCTTTTTTTTTGGACAAGTGACTCTTCAGACCAGGTTCAGGAAGTATCTTTCGTTCAAAATTCACAAAAAAGAAATTTCAACCTGTTAAAAAAAGTGTCTTAGCTTACTGGTGGCCATCCATATAGGTTTCACTATTCAAGGGAGCTAGCAAGGAACTGGAAAAGCTCATGGAATTGAAAGCCATGTGGCTCTATCAGTTGGTATCCAGAACTCTTCATGCTGAAACGGCTGAACACAGCAGGAGCAAGCTTCTACTAACAACAAATATTAAAAATAAAACTTTTTTTGCAGTATGTAAAACACCAGTGGAAGGTAGTTTAAACAAACAACAAAGTAAGAACTGGTCCGGCCATGTAGGTCAAATAAAAATTTTTAACGAAAAGTAAAGAAAAATGACCTCTATCTTCTGGACTGCAATAGGGTGCCACTTCATCTTTGGTATAAAATAGGCCATCCATAGGCTGAATTTGATCACAACTAGGAAAGACTACAGAAATTGTCAACAATTTCTCTATCTATTGCTTTTTTTTTGTATTTTTTTGTTTGTTTTGTTTTGCACTTTTGACCATAAGCTCCTATCTACTTAAGATTTTTGTGTGGTTTTTTTTTAATGCTCTTAAGCTAGGTTTTGCAATGTGACAAGCAAAGCTGACTAAAAACTTTGTAAAGCTCATAAAAAAGACTGCAGATAAAAAGCACTAATGCTTTTGCTAGCAATCACGCTTTGTAAATTAAAAAAATCTGCATTCTGCCCCCCAAACACGCATTATTTCTAATGCAGTTGTTTTTTAAACCAACCTTAATAACTTTACCATAAAATGTTTTAGCCTTCTAGAATGGGTCAACACTTAAGACAAAGTTCATGAAAAGTCCCAGCATTTTTCCAATTCTCGCAGTTGCCATGGTTTCTTTTATCAACAAATTTTCTTCAAATGAAGAAAAACATTTTCTTTTAAACTGTACAGTTTTTTCACCCTAAAAACTCAAGAGTCTTAAGCTTCTGTACCAGTTAAAGCTGGCACAATATTTCAATTCTTTCTTGATTTTTTAACAAGACGTTGACAGCTTGCCTCGAGAGCCTTTGACGTCCTTAAAATTAAGGCAATTAAGATTCAAGATAAACCTTACCTAAATATTTCTAAGAAAAAATAAAAAAACAACCCACATTTAAACAAGGAGAAAAAATAAAGAGTAGCTTAATTACCGAGGAAGACAATTTCTTTCCATTTCTGCTTGCCCACCTCTTGACATCCGATTTTCTATTAAAAAGAAAAAAAAAATCTATCTACACCTTCAGGTCAATTCTGACTTCAAATGTTCTTCCAGATCAAATGTCAACCTTCCATGTTTTGTTTTTGTTGTTTTTCCTCTTCTGGTGTTTTTTTTTTTTTTTTTTACTTTAATTTAAAAAATGATGGCAAAAATAAACTGTCAGACCACATGAAGGACCCATTTGCACAGCACACAAAACGCTTTGTTTTCGTTGGGTAAAGTACAAAATTAAAAAAGAAAAAAGCATTCCATTGACGCCTGTGCAAACTGGAAGCCAACTTCTTGTTCAATGAAGTCTCTTCATTCAAGGCAAAGTTTCAGACGGACATTCTTCAGTCTTGTTTATGGTCTGTGAAAACAATTGAGTAAGAGTGGTTATGACATCAAAGCAACTTTGAAATCTTCTATGCTCTTTTCCAGTGAGACCTCTTAAAAGATACCAAGTTCTTTAAAAATAACAGCCATCAGTGAAGTTGTAAAAGCATATTGGGCCACTTCAAGTGTCTAATTCTGCCACTTTCACATGAATATATATTTGAGCCAGAAAGTGTGTTCACATTAAATATTAAGGTTAAGAATATCTTTCAATTCTAAAGTCGTAAATATTACAAATATACCCAGATAAAAAATACTCCTCTTGGGGAATGGAATCTATTTTGTTGCCTGGCTTATGTTGTAGCTCCCCCAGAAATGCTTTAAGTAATTCTATTCCTTCAGAACTTCCATGGGATTCATCATTCACTCAGTCAACAAATGGGTGAGTCCCTACTATGTACCAAGATAAAGCAATGGGTTGTATGCTATCCATGGTGTTCACCAAGTATGTTCACATTAGCTTTATTGTCCAGGTAACTAAGTAAGGCAGTTAAGAGGGCCACAGAGTTTTGTGCACTTTCCCTCTTCTCCTTCTCTTGTTCCTTGCTCATTTATCTCATAAAGATGTCAAATTCTCCCCCCCCCCCATTCATTATTTAATTATTATGTAATTTATTCAAAGTTATCTAATGAATAAATTTGGGGTAAGTTCTAGTTGATTCCAGTGTTATTTCTACTAGTTGCTACACTGTAATAAAACTGACATTTAACAATGACTTTATTCATTTCTGTTGTCCAATACAGAAAACACAGACATCTTTACTGGACACACTTAAAACCAGTTATCAGAAACGTGATCCTAAAGCAGCTCCTTCACAAAATACATCTCGAAACTTCACATCAGTTGATCACGGCAAACCCAAAGATAAAAGAGACAATCTGTGGACATCTGCCAAAAGTACTTCATCTGCACTATTCACCAAAGGTAGGTTGGTAAAATTTCAAAAGCTATAGTAACTATTTTTAAATTAAAAAGACAGTTCTGGTGTTACATACCAATTTCTTGAAAGTTTCAATTTTGTGTGTGAGAGCAACATGAATTTTTTTTTTCTGTCACTGTCCACAACTTAATGGCATCTTGGCAGCTTTCATAACTTCCTAGCTTTAACCAATGCATAGGTCCCTGATGTGGGAAATCTGGTTGTGAGTTGACATTTTCTTGTGTCACCCTAGTTACCTCCCTTTGTTGTTTATTCCACATCATCTTGGTGCTGGATTCTTTACTGAGCAGTCAGCCCTCCTGAAGCAGGTGCTGCTAGCAAAGTAGCTCAATTCTAGCTGCCTTCCACATGTTCAGTTAATCCATGGGGAATTCATTCAACCTTTCATGATAAATGGCAGTGTAGAATGCTCTACTTCTTTTTTAAAAAAATCTATTTACTTATTTTAAGAATCTTTATTGTTGAAAGTATTACATATGTCCTGTTTTTTCTCCCATTGACCCCTTATAGCACACCACCACCCTACTGTCTGTGTCCATGGGTTATGCATATATACATACAAGTTCTTTGGTTGATCTCTTCCCATACACCCACCCTCCCCCACCTTCCCTCTGAGATTTGACAGTCTTTTCCATGCAACTATGTCTCTGGACCTATTTTGTTCAATAGGTTATTTTGTTCATTAGATTTCATATATGAGTGAGATCATGTGATACTTGTCTTTCTTTGATTGGCTTATTTCACTTAGCATGATACTCTGCAGGTCCCTCCATGCTGTCTCAAAGGTAAGAGATCCTTCCTTTTTACTGATGCATAGTATCCCATGGTGTAAATGTACCACAGCTTGTTTATATCTTCCTGATGGGCACTTGGGCTGTTTCCAGATCTTAGCTATTGTAAATTGTGCTGCTGTGATCTAGGGGTGCATATATCCTTTCTGATAAGTGTTTTGAGTCTCTTAGGATATATTCCTAGAAGTGGGATCACTGGGTGAAATGGCAGTTCCATATTTAATTTTTTGAGGAAACTCCATACTGTTTTTCACAGTGGCTGCACCAGTCTGCATTCCAACCAGCAATATACTAATGTTCCCTTCTCTCCATACCCTTGCCAGCACCTGTCATTTGTTGATTGTAGCCATTCTGACAAGTGTGAGGTGATACCTCATTGTTATTTTAATTTGCATCTCTCTGATGATCAGTGACTTTGAGCATTTTTTCTTATGTCTCTTGGCCATCTGTATGTCCACTTTGGAGAATTGTCTATTTAAGTCATTTGCCCATTTTTTAATTGGATTGTTTTCCTTTTGTTCAGTTGTATGAGTTCCTTATATATTTTGGATATTAACCCTTTATCAGATGTACCATTGCCAAATGTGTTCTCCCATACATTGGGCTCTCTTTTTATTTTGTTGGTTTCAGGGCCCCTAGGCCTGGCAGGCAATCAGGGCCAATCGGGGCCTTCCGGCTGCCAGCTGGGGCCTTCCTTCTGGCTGCTGGCCAGGGCCTCCCTTCCCCAGCTGCCTGCTGTTGGCCAGGGCCTTCCTTCATTCCACTCCGCCCCCTGGTGGTCAGCACACATCATAGTGAGCAATCGGTCTCCCGGTCAAACTCACATGGGGACAATTTGCATATTAGGCTTTTTTAAAATATATATTTTATTGATTTTTTTTACAGAGAGGAAGGGAGAGGGAGAGGAATAGAGAGTTAGAAACATCAATGAGAGAGAAACATCGATTCAGCTGCTTCCTGCACACTCCCTACTGAGGATGTGCCCGAAACCAAGGTATATGCCCTTGACCGGAATCGAACCTGGGACCTTTCAGTCCGCAGGACGACGCTCTATCCACTGAGCCAAACCGGTTTCGGCTGGAGTTTTGTTTGTTTGTTTGTTTGTTTTTTTGGTTTTTTTTTTAGATCTGTGAAATATGCCTTGGTAATTTAATAGGGATTGCATTGAATCTATAGATTGCTTTGGGTAGTATGGACATTTTAATTCTACTAATCCATGAACACAGTATATTCTTCTACATGTTTATATCTATATCTTCCTCTATCTCTTTTTCAACATCCTGTAGTTTTCAGAATACAAGTATTTTACCTCCTTGGTTAAGTTTGTTCCTAGGTATCTTAATTTTTGTTGTTGTTGTTTCTAAGGTAAATTGTATTTGTTTAGTTTCTCTTTCTGAGAATTTATTGGTGTATAAAAAAGCCATAGATTTCTGGATGTTAATTTTGTATCCTGCTACATTGCTGAATTCCTTTAGTTTTTTTTTTTTTTTGGTGGAGTCTAGGTTTTTCTATGTACAATATCATGTAATCTGTGAGTAATGACAGTTTTACTTCCGCTTCCAATTTGGATGCCTTTTATTTCTTGTCTGATCGCTATGGCCAGGACTTCCAGAACTATGTCTAACAGGAGTGTTGAAATGGACATCCCTGTCTTGTTTCTGTTCTTAGGGAAAATGGTCATAGTTTTTGCCCATTGAGTATGAAGTTGGCTGTAAGTTTGTCATATATGGCCTTTAGTATGTTGAGGTATGATCTCTCTATTTCCACTTTACTGAGAGTTTTTATCAAAAATAGGTATTAGATTTTGTCAAGTGCTTTTTCTGCACCGATTGATATGATCATGTGATTTTTGTCTTTCATTTGTTTATGTGATGTATCATGTTTATTGACTGGTGAATATTATACCAGCCTTGCATCCCTGGAATAAATCCTATTTGGTTATGGTCTATGATCTTTTTACTATATTGCTGGATTCAGTTTGCTAATATTTTGTTGAAGATTTTAGCATCTATGTTCATCAGGGATATCGGCCTGTAGTTCTTTCTTTGTAGTGTCTTTAGCTGGTTTTGGAATTAGGTGAAAGCTGGCCTCATAAAAAGAGCTTGGAAGCATTCCTTCCTCTTGGAATAGTTTGAGGAGGGCAGGTGTTAGTTCTTCTTTGAATGTTTGGTTAAACTCCCATGTGAAACTGTCTGGACAAGGCCTTTTATTAGCTGGGAGTTTTTTGATTACTGCTTCAGTTTTCTCAATTGTTATTGGTCTATTTGTGTTTTCTAATTCTTCCAAATTTGGTTTTGGAAGATTGTATTTTTCTAGGAATTTGTCCATTTCACCCACATTGCCCAGCTTGTTGGCATATAGTTGTTCCTTTGTATATATGTAATGTCAGTTGTTACTTCACTGATTTTGTTTCTAATTTTAATTATTTGGGTCCTCTTTCTATGTTTCTTTTTAAAAAATATATTTTATTGATTTTTTACAGAGAGAAAGGGAGAGGGATAGAGAGTTAGAAAATTGATGAGA